GCTCTTGCTCAGGCTGGTCTTGAACTCCAGAGCTCAAGAACTCCAGAGCTCAAGCTATAGTCCTCCCTGGGCTTCCCAGAATGCTAGGATCACAGGCCAGCCTTCAAATGCAAAATTGATCACTTAACTAGCTCTGTGACTTTAGGGCAAATTCCTTAGCCTCTCTGCACTCTTTCCTCCTATGTAAAATAGGTATAATAGTACTACCCATTCAATGTGCTATTGTGATGATTAACTGAGTTAATCCACATACAACATTTAGAACAGTACCTGACACCTGTAAAAGTAAGATATTGTTCTAGTTTATAAGAACAGGTATCAGAATCTGAGTTTTGAAATTAAAGCCCAGAATTTGTTACTGTGAGAAATGACACAATTGGCTTAGAACATGTGAAATAAATGTCTTCCCTCTTGGCTTTGGACTTTCTCCATCAGTCCCATACTGTTTCTTGTCTTCCAATCTGTTATCTCCACACTCTTTAATCTCTGTCCTCCTCAGCTTCTGTTTGAACTACCACAGAAGGAAATGAAGTAACAACAAAAAACTGAATAGAATAACTTCCTAAAAATCTCCATTGATAAACTGTACTATGGACAATACTCTGGACTGGCAGAGTTCTTAGTTTGTTTTTATTGTATTGGTCCAAATACAGAGAAAGTACATAATTTTTTTTATTATGTGTGGTAATATTTCATGCACTTGTTCTAATGGCTAGTGGATTATGCACAACTTTTGAAGCTATGATGAGACAAATAGATTTTATATGTATGGGGGAAGTACATGGGGGAGGCACTCTAATAAGTACCCTTAGCAGTTTATATTAGTGTAACCAAAAATAGTAAATGGTGGATGAATATAATGGCAAAATTACATAATTCTGTTATACTGAGGTCAGATTTCTGCTGGTTACTGGAACTCGACATAAATAGCAATATCTTTCATTTTGTATAGTGCTTTATAATTTTTGAAGCACTTTGACATCCATTACTTAATCTAATTCCTTAGGCTTTGTATATTTGGCTGATGTAAAATAGTCATTTCCACATTTTTTCCCACATGTCAATGCTTTGCACATGAGATTTGTTTCAGTGTTGTGAAGACTCCCTTCAAGAAAACTCTTCATTGAAGTATTACCTATATCTTATCAATACATACTTTTTATTTATCTTAAATGAGGTTCAAATTCTTCAGTGGCTAGAATTTTTGCCGGATCACAGAAGAGGAAAAAGAGATTTGGGTTTCAGCTAAGTGATAGTCTTTACTTTGTTAAAGTCTCTTAACCTCACTGTCACTCTTTTCTCACCCCTAAGAAACTTTTTGTGA